AACACAAACCTCTGGTACTTTCCGTATGATCGCTGGTCATAGAGATCGCCGACTGAAACATAGGGAGGAATATCTTTGGCCACAGAATACCTAAACAACAGACCACTACCGCCAACACACATATGCTTTTGCTATTACTTAACTCTGTTGTTGCCATCCCTTTGTATTTATGTTATTATATTACTTAACAGAATATTTGAATTATTGTTATTATATTTAATAATTTAAACTCAAATTAAATATTTCTCTCAAATCCATAAACACAACATCCATTAGTTTCTAAATAAAGATCTAAAAATCAATAAATATATGAGCTCTGGATGCGAGTGAAGGAGCCCTTGTATAAGATGCTTGCAATGCATCCAATAGTGCGCTAAACTGTTATATTTAGATATTTGCCACTTATTTTTGTTATCACTTCATGTAATATATTATTTTATTTTCATATTTTATGTCTATATGAAATTAGTTCATATCTAACAATAAATTCTATTTACTTTAAAGTTTTAGCATTAAAAGTCATTAATAAGTTTAGTAAAAACATATTTTTAAATTACTTAAATTCCATTAAACCTTATTCTAGCCGTTATAAGAATTTTCCAGTTTTATGCATAATTTAATTTTTTTGCTTAAATGAGTTGTACGACAATTATTTTATTGAATTCAAAATGCATTCAAATCATTGAGTCATATTATTGAGTACAAATGAGCAGTGTTCACGCAATAATGTACCTAATAAGCAACTACAGTAATAGCAAATATCAAAATTAATTAAGACATTTGTCAGAGGATTTTTGTCCATTTGAAACTGGAACAATTTGAGTTACTGTGTAGTTATCATTCCATATTTATATCTATTATTGGATATAACTTACTGTATATCGATTTATATCATTACTATTAGTATAAAATAATTTATTGACATAAATTGCTTCCAATGTCTAAAGAATAGTAATTTCAATTCAAACAAACATACAGTAGTTTGGACTGACATTTAATATAAAAAATAATCCATTGAATTTATGACTTCAATGTCTGCGTTTGACATTTCAAATACAGTTAATAATACCTTTTAATTATTTTATTTTCTCTTATACAAAATGTTTAAAATTTTACAAACCAATTACTAGTATACATTATTGACATTATTAACAAATCAAAATAATTTATTCATCAGTTTCATTTATATTTACTTTAATTAATAATAAATAATTTGTTCATTAATTTTTAATAAAGTAACATTGAAAGTTATATGTTATGTTTGATATTAGATTGTTAAATTATTAAAATAAAATTGAATATTAATAAGACTATAATCGTTATACAATAAATAACTATAAATTTGAATTTTATGTCTAAAACAATTGAGACATTATTCGTGAAACATAAGTAGTTTGTGAACAATTTCGGATCTCTTTGAGTAAATATTGAAAAAGAATAGCAAATCTAAACCCAAATATAAAATCAATACTTTTAAAGAATATTCTGTATATTCTGTAATATAAATATTCCACAAAAGAATTCAAAACTAATCTTTTTTTGTTGAAAATATTCTGCAATATAATCCAAATTAAACATCAAATACTTGAAATTATTGCTTAAAACATTTGATACTGTACTGAATATAAATTTATTATCTGAGATGAATTTATTAACAAAATGCACATAAATTAATAACATTTCATATGAAATTTTGTAGCCAAAAGGCATGTTTCAGACAAACGATACAAGAAATCATAATTAATTTGTATCATTATTTAAAATCTATAAAATTATTAATATAATTTATCATGTCCTATATTCTTGGATTAAGTTTTAAAACATATTTTTAACTTTTTTAACGGCACTTATTCTTAAGGATTATTCTTATATCTCAAGTGTTAGACAACTGGACGGGACATTCAACTGGATTTCAATTATAGGTATCAATAAATACTATCCTGTATTCAATGACTATTATATTGAGCTCATATATCTGGTCGTATTATTCATGGAAATACTGTTTTAAATAGACTTTCAAGTTATAGATAAGAAACAATCACTACTTCTCTGTTTCGCATTTACATAAAGAATCTTTTAATTGATAATAAATTTGAGTGAATTTGCGCACAGTTTCGACACTGAAGTTGTTTTCGTCGAAAACGAAGACCAGATTTTCGTCGATTTCAATCTCATTGCTGATCATAAACATCAATCCGTTTTGTAATTTGTTTGATTTGTTCAAATTGAGACCATTGATGTCGATCTCCATGCCATCCTTTTTAGGACTATAGATGAAACTTAAGAGATCTGTTTTAGACTCAATTCTTATTGAGTTTTTACTGTTTTTCGTGATTTTGATCTTTACTTTTGTCGGCTTTAATTCGGCTCTGATTTCAATGAGTTTATTGATGAGTCGGAAATAATTTATAAAATTACTGTTCACCTCATCGTAACCACAATTGTTGGTCATTTGGTCCAAATCTTTACGTTTTGAAGTATTCTTGATCAGATTAATTGCGATATAGTTGAAGTGAAAGTTGACAAAACTCGGCACCTGTTTCAAGAACAGACAGTTTCGGAACATATTTATCCGATTGGGTATCAAATTAATTATAAACACCCTTTCCTTGGAGTCAACGGATAATTTATCTATCTCTTTGGTAATCAGACTCAACACCCAATTAGTGGTTATGATATTAGCGTATAAAAGCAATTTTGTCTTGAGATCATCGCTGGAACTGGTGTTGAGACAAATGGTTGCTTCCGAGAGACACAATTCGTGTCCGTTTTGACCAAACTCATCGACATTAGTGACGGGATTGGATAACATTGTGGTCTTCTCTGATGTTAGCTTTTTAATACGTTTTGCAATATTATCTAAAATCAGTTTTTCTACATCTATGTAGTGATAGGTATAAGTTTCGCCGGCATCAGAGTCGGCAATTGTTTCATTGAGTTGTAGGAGTTCCCAAATAAACTCTCCCTTATTAGATCCCGAACCACCTTAACAATAATAATTGTGCAAATTCTTAAATTATGTGATAAATGGCATACTTTATAAATAATGAATGTCTCTGTAATCTCTAATAACTACCGGTAATATTCGCATAATGCATAGAAATTAAGTATTTATAGCACAATAAAAAGTATTATATATTATTTGCTATAAAGGATCGCATCATAAAAATAATATAAACGATAGAAAATAACTTATTTATAGCTTATAATAAAAGAATAGTATATTAAATATGAAATGAAAAGTAATCATTGAATAAGAGTTAACGGGACTATCATAAGAGTAAAGTGAATACAATAATGAAATGCATACCAAAAATGAAGATACACTTAGGATTGGGATTATCTTCGTCAGTGAAATATGAGTTGAGATTATGGATGTCGACGATCTCTATATTGACTGATGAGATGCCTTTCGTGGACTCAATGAGGCGTCTGTGGAATTTGGTGATCGCACAGCCCATTGTCTACCGTTCCACAGGTGACAAAGATGTCTCTTAATTTGAGTCCGCATTATAGGTGAGCGCCAACATTAGTGTCTGATCCGCGAAGTCTTTCTTTTCACATTTGAATCAATAAAAAGATAACTATTGTGTCATTTGTGAAGCTCTCTATCACTTAAATTCATTGCCGTATAAAATGTAATCTTGTATTAACCTGAGAGACAGTTTTATTTTCAATGCACTCCACTATTTCTTTACGACACTTTTATACTACCAGTGCTCAGTGGTCTTCGCTCACAAGCGATGGTACGATCGATCAAAAGTTAGATTCAAAGTTTCAATACAAAGATTATCTCAACATTTGCGAAGACCTGTGTGTCTGTGGCCGAGCACTGAAGAAATCAATCAATAATTTTATAGACTTTTGTTTGCTTTTATGAAATGTAGTGAATTTCAAATCAATTCATTCAACAAATGCTAGAATAGAAATACAGTGATAAGAACTTTGTCAAACAAATTGCTTATATTATAAGTTTCATAACATTACTGTAGTTCTCATATAGTTTTGATTATTATTCAAAAATCAATAAATATATTCATAAGTTATTTACACCATATGTATGGTAAAAGCTCTTGAATTACAGGGATTTCCATTTAATATCTATTAATCCATTAATAAAATCTATTATTCGTGGAAATCATAAGCAATTTATTGCATATTGTGTCCATTAGTGTTACGTATTACTTATCCCTTCAAATATTGTATTAATATTGAAAAACAACAATAATATCGATAGTATTCTATACATATACTGTATATAAAAGATTTATATGAGTTTTAATAACTTTTCCTCTGATAGTTAGAGCAGTTCTGTAAGCAATGAGCGAAATAAACGTCAGATAAACCGTAAACATTAACAAACACTTGAATCTGACAAATATATTAGATTTCCAGTTAATGGACGTCAAGTATAGCAAAGTAAAGTGCAATTCAAGTCTTTTTGGAGACTTCAATAAATATTATCACAAATGAAGGCTCACTTAAAAAAGTGCTAATACTTTCCAAACAAAATAAATCATAGTTTCCTAACAATTCTAACTAACCGATATTACCAGTATCAATTTTAACGGCTCGTAATTTAAATGCAATCTATTTATTGGTATGAAAAAGTAAATTCCTGGAGCATTTGGAAAATTTTAAAGCGAGTTTTTACAATCAAATAGAATTGACTAAATATTATGGCAGTAAACTGATGAGAAAAACATAAATAAAATCAAAAACAATTTTGACGATATTTTCGTTATAAATGACAGAAAAACCCACAGAATGTCAAAAACGTTGAGTAGAGTGTGGGTTCAAAAAGTAATAACAAATGCAATATCACTGAAGGCTTATACCGTACTCTATAGCAAAACGTCTCAATTCAGAGCATATGATGTTATACTTAAATTTAATATAAAAAACTTATAATTCAAACAAACAAATGACAAAATAAATGATTAAAATTCTACTATAAATATGATATTCTGAATGTTAGGTATGGCTCGCATTGCGTTCCTTTCTCTTCTGTTTCCGACTTTTATCGCTCTTTACATTAGTTTTCGTGTTTTTCGACTCAATATCCGTGTCATCAGATCGTCTGAAACCCGATTTTTGCATTTTATTCACTTTCCTCTTCAACTTTTCGATATCTATTTGCGAAGCGCTCGGAACCGACTCTTTAGCCATCGACTCGTTCTTCGGCGACTCTTCCGGGGGAACGAACGGCGCGCTTCGCTTCTCCTGTCGGCGCACTTCTGCGGCAACTTTTTTGTCAAATTTCTCTCTTATATTCCTCGCCTTCTTTTGGCTGTCGTTAAGGAAGTACTCTCCAGACGCCAACTGTTTGTCGACTTTGCTTTCGGTTTGCGGCGGAGGGAAAGGCGTGTACTCTTTCCTCGACTTATTTCTAATCACTTTCGGTTTCTTACGTTTCGACAGATTCTTCGACTTATAGTGCGGTATAAATCGGTCCCAATTCTGGTTCTTAAGCTCCGGGTCTTTGGCTAACTCTCTCTTAATCATAAGCGCCTTAATATTATAGACGGGATGTATGTTCTTCATGGTGTCGACCACTATTCGGCGCACGTGTTGCAGCCCTTTGTGGGGTCCGATGGCAGACACAGTGGTTCCCTGGACTAAGACATAGCAATTGGTCAACAGTTCGATGGCTTTAAGTGTGGACCCATTGGGACCAATGAGTCGTTGCCGTCGTTTCACAAAACGCTCTTTATTTCTGACCAAAGATCCGATTTTAATGATATCACAAGTGGTGTCGTCGCCCAACACTTTGATGGCCTGTTCGTAGGGAACACTTCTGGACAACAATTTGATGACATCCCTGGCTTTGATGATGATATACGGGTCCCACGTCTGTCGAGTGGTGGCCACAGTGAGCGAGCCCTCCACCACATCCATCTCGCACTTCACTTCGCACTCTTTGAGCGCATTCTTCAGCAGTGGAAAGCATTCAGTGATGTATTTCTCGCGATATTTGGGGAAAAGTGTGGCGAAAGCACTCTCACAGAGAATGCCCGACGGGTTGTCCTCTTTGGTGAACTTCGGGATCTCTATCGACCACGGATTGGACACCATCTCATCTGATCCACACATTCACCATATTTAGTCACAATTAACACCTCAATACAAGACAAACACTTACCATTGTCCACCTCATTGGCCATCACTTGTCTTCAAATGCAGTCAAACTATGGATCAAATTATGGATCAAATATGGATCAAATTATGGATCAATTACTAAATCGATTCAAATGTCGTTCAAAACAAACCATACATTCACTGAAACAGTGTTTTGCAAAAAACGTGACTTTTTTCAGGCAAACAGTGTTTGTATTGCAGACAACACTAGTGGTCAACACTACTCGAGTCAACACATTGTCAGCGCTTTGAAGCTATTTATTCATACAAATTGCTATTATTATTAACTGTTTGTCATAGTGTTAGGTGCACTCAATGGTGCTTGGCAATTTAATTATCACGGTTTAATGATATTTTAAAAATGTTTTGAGCCAATATTGCTCGGACTTTGCATTGGGGTAACACTAGTCAAGGATTTTAAATAGGCTTTTAAATGGGAAATACATTTAAATCCAGTTATGCATGCATTGAGTGCAATAAAACATATTTATATGAAACACATTGAGCCATAGGACAACTCATTGGGGATTTAATAAATAAATTAAATGAACATGCTCATAAATATACCACTGTTTTGTACTTATTTTGAATATAAAATAAAAGCAAATAATTGATAATTAATGTGAAATCAAATCAATTGAATTGATTGTCATATGTATTGATCGCCAACTGTATGCTGACCTCAAATGGTAAGCGCAGACTCGCGCTTAGAGTACAGACGTGTGGCAACAATTGTAGACATATATAGTGTGAAGTGAATGGTAATGTTGAACGCGTTGTGGAGTGTTTGGTGTCGTTTTGCGCACTTTTGGTGATGTCTTTGTATGTCTTTATGGCGTTCAGTGTATGTATGGCTTGAATGGTATGTCTGTCTGTCTATGCATTAAATGCTTTGAATGGAGTAATAGTGACGACAATACGGGTGTGTATTGACTACCAGTGCTGTTGAATGGCATTATTGGTGAGACCAGA